AGCAGGGGTCCTCTCCCTCCACAGGCCCCGGCTCTCCCTCTGCCCGCTGGAGACCGGGGCCGCCCCTCCGGTCAGGTGACACAGCCCAGGTGTCCTCGTACTCTGCCCCCAGGGTGAGCATCCTCCACGAGCCCAACGTGGCTGAGCGCACCGCTGGGGTTCAAATAAATGATATGTAGTACGCAGCAGAAGACATGCCATTTCTGATTTATAATGCACACTTTAACAAGCTGGAATTAAAACAAAATACTTTAGGAAGTCAGCATTTGTCGCAAAAAAAAAACAAGTAGGAGGACTCGTAGTAAAAAGAAATAGAAAGTTCCAAAACTCAGTCATGCAGAAAATGTAGGCTATAAACACTTCAAGTTACCCAAGCTACGCAACATCTTCCCCAAAAACACACGTCCGTTTGGCTAAGTTGTTACAGTTTCAGCTCTTTTCCAAAATAAAATAACTCATTCTCTTCTTGGCAACAAGTATTAACACATTTTAAACAAGGAAATATGAGTTTTAATCTGCCGTGTGTGAGGCTAATGTTAGCTGCTCCCATGTAGCGGTTATCAAGACTCTGATGCCCTCCACAAAGTTGGTATACAATACCCAAACAAAGACATAGCATCATGTATTTCTAAATTGCTTCTAAGTAAGCATATTACTCACCTATGTTTGAGTTTTTTCAAGTCAAATAAGCATTTCAGTCATATTTTGTTTCAGCCATTGGGCAAAGCCAGTACTTGTCACAGATTTGTGTTCAGTTACAGTAGGTCAAGCAGAGGTTTAATTTATTAATTAATTGATGGATGGATTCCATTTAGCTTTTTCACTTTCAGGGTCCTGGTAATGTGCATGCTGGTTCGCTGTCACACTGCAATTACTTATGGCCCATCATCACTTGAATGGAACAAAGCCATGATTAATGTGATTGGTAACACCTGTGCTTTTTATTTTAAAGGCTTTTATTGACTTTAAACCACTGTAGATTTGTTAACATTGTCTTCATTTATTTCTTCTATTTCTGTCATCTCTTGTCCTTTTTCAAAACTGCACTCAAAACCTTTTTTTAATCTATCCCCCTTCTGTAATTCCTCTAACAAAATTGTTTTTATACTGTTGCTATGTAATTATATTTTTGTTATTTCATTGTTTTTACTGTTTCTGTTGCTGTTTTTACCTTGTTAGGTACCTTGTTATACTAACAAAGCGTATTATTTATATAATGACAATTTATTTTGACTGCTTATGACTCTATATAAATCCCTCAGGACTGTGAAATAATAGGCTACAGTCAGCCCAGACAGCTTACCTTATGGAGTTTGAGTTGTGATGGCAGTGTATGAGACAAAGCAAATAAAACCTTTGAGATTAACTGAATCATTAGACTCTGTGATGTATCATTTCAAACTGTATAACACAGTTATTCACATTGGTTTGACCCAGAGGTCTCCACTCAGGTTTAACAACCCTAATGGTTGCTTATACAATAAAGACATGTAAACAAATGCGGTAACACTTTATATTAAGGTACATATTCACCATCAATTAGTTGTTAATTAACATGCATATTAGCAGTATATTGGCTCTTTATTAGTCATTATAAAACACGTATTAAAGCCTTATTCTACATGACAATATTCTACAACTAGGCCATTCGTTAAGAGTTTTTCCTTAATAACCCTCTTATTAGTGCTTATTAAATGTAAGTAAGGAAGTTGTTGTACATGAGTTTGGGTCTTAATATGCTCAATATGGGGTTAATAAGGCAGCAGTACCAAAATAATAATAATTCTCCCATAATAACACCAAACAAATATGGTCTATTCTTATGTAACAAGACATGAAACTACAAGTGTTTATTGTGTCAAAATAAAAATAAAAATGGGTGTTTCTAACAAAAAATACGTTCCCTATTTTAAAGTGAAGTATTTTTCATAAAAAATAAGCTAATAGTTTGTCTCTAATATGTTAATTAACAACTAATTGATGGTGAATAAGTGTACTTAATATAAAGTGTTACCACAAATCATAGGTGGTTAGAAGTAGAATAAACGTACCATAAACCACAGTTGACCGTCTCTCTGCCCATCTCGAGTTGTGAGGAAGACTTCTCTTCATAACTGCTCTCCAGGGTTACTGAGGTACATCCAACTGAAGAGTGGAATAAATCAACTCTTTGACCCCTACACGGTACATGTATGTCTGCAGGAGGCACCAGGGCAGGGGCACCAAAGACAACAATTAAAGTTTCTCCCACCCTGGAATGCGGAAAAGGGCTGCTTCCTGTCCTGCCAGTTAAGAACCTCGTTATCAGACCGAGCGTCTTCCATGCTCAAGGAGAAATTTCACTGATTCAATTATCGGCTCTGTTTTTCGCTGTCCGCCCTGGTTACCAGGAAGGGAGCAATCATCGGGCAGTTTATGAGACCTAAAAGGCCTGCAGATGTTACAGAAACTCACTTCCTGCCGGGCTTTCTTTCATATTGCTGCTGGAGGGGACATTATGAATCCAAATCCACTGGGAGATGGGACAACAGCAGCTGAATTCATGTTTTTACAACTTTTAGAGTTTAATTGCAGAGGTGGGAACGGACCTATGTTTACTGAAATAAGATCAATGGGAAATTAATTTATATATTTCTATTTTGAGACTTTCTCAACGTTAGCTTTCGACGAAATGACTACCTTTTAGTTTTCAACAGCTGTACCGACAGGTGACTTTGCAGATGAGTATTTTGTAATATGTTCGTTTTTCAAGCACTGATACAACTAGCAATGGCATTGTCAGAAGAGACATCACTTTGGTCTAACATTTCAAACCAAAACAGGATAGATTGCAATGGGATTTTGTGCAGTGCTATTTAATTTATCACACAGCCTCAGCCGTACCCTACGGAGTCACTATAATTACATACACATTTATCATAATTCCAAAAACATTTTTTTAAGGCAAATAAAAAATGAGCAAATATTCTAGTGTTAAATATTTTTCTACAGTTCATAAGCTCTCCTATAAATCTCTTACTGTAAGTTACGGTTATTTGCCATCATTTGTAATGATTTGACAGGCTAATTATTTGGAAAAACAAATGCAATTTGGGACGGATATAAATTAAACCCACTCTCGTTAACGTTAATCTAGTATTTACCAAGTAGTTCTTGCATTCACAAATGTAACTGACCTTGCTTTGCAAACACACTTTACGTCATTTATTCCACCATAAAAGGTGCAACTAAAGAGTGATGGGGCTGTCAATCAAGCACATTTTGCACACCCCTCCTTATGGAAGATGCAGATAAGTAAGAACATTTGGTTTAGAGTAGCTTTACCAAGAAGAAACCTTCATAACGTTTTTATTTCTTAAACTTATGCAAACACATGCTAACCCTTCTCTTGCGTTAGGCCCCCTTCCCATACTGTGTGTTTTTCACAGTGATATCTCTGGAACCCCTTATCCGATTTTGATGGTTGACATCTCATTTGAACAGTCAACGCAAGTAGAATCAAGGGGTGACAGACAGAATGATTCCAGGGTTGAATTTCATGTTATAATTTTGCAGTAAGCTCAAAGATAGTGCTTACTGTACATTATAAAAATGCTTGCCATGTAGGCTGTGTTTACTGGAGATGCTTTAGTTGGTGTTGTAGCTGAGATTCTTCCTGTTCCAATGATGTATGGGATGTATTGATTTGATACAAGCAAGTCAGTGTTTCATTGTGTACTTTCAACTACAGTATATGATCCGGACCCACCGGTGGGCCCCATCAAGTTCAGCATTCACTGCATTGAATATAAAATAAGACACTGATACCGTTTTCCTTAATGAAGGCCTCTCCCTCAGGGGCCTCTTCCTGGTCTGTTGGTCAGGCTCATAGTCTGGATCACTGTTGTCTTCCATTTCTGAGACATCGTCCTCTATTTCTGGTTCAATCTCCTCTTCATCTGGTTCAAAACATTTGTCCAGAGCCTCTCTGACAGAAAATCGCCTAATCGGTCGCCTACTCATTGTGTCAATGAGTCAAATGTGAGCAAGGCACAAATATTACTGCATGAGAGACAGTAATGGAGGGCCATTTACTGCTAGAAAGTTAGAGGTTTTCTTTCTCGAGGGGCACAGAGCTCGCACCTGTGAGAAGGTATGAAACATTTGATCATACAGCGCGAGAAAGTGAGGGTTCCCGTTAACTTAGAGTACATTGTGTCTCTGAAGGTGTGGGGGGACAAAAGCACAAGAAGAGTGAGTGAGAGAGAGAGAGAGAGAGAGAGAGAGAGAGAGAGAGTGTACATTGCGAGAAAGTGAGAGGTTCCCGTAACTTTTTTTTGTCTGGAAGGTGTGGCGGGACATAAGCACAATGTGTGTGTTTGTGTCTGCGTCTGTGTGTCATTTCCTATGGCGGTCAATTCTACCCGAAAACATCATGGGTGTTTCACTGTTGAATAAATCACTAAAAAAAACAATGCAAGTGGTGATCATCAAGTGTATATGTTCAGAGGCCTAGTGTGGACGATAACATAAGGTCTTGAGGCAATTGGATGAAAAACACAATATTTATGATCAAAACCAAAGTCACTCGGTCACTTTTGACCCGAAGCACAAGAGAAGGGAAAGTTCTCTCAAAATAATTGTGAATCCATGATTTGACCTGTAATGGAGTATTTCTGCTGCAGTATTTACTACCACTGTGTTTAGTATCTTCTATTAGTTTCAATAAGCTCCTCAGCATGATGGCACAAACTAAAAGCTTTCAAATATACTCATTAAAGCTCACTATGTGTGGGAAGTGTCAGCAGATCCAACATTTTAGCGCAGTCCGTCAAACGGAGCAGCTGCCGGGTCGGGCTGAGGATGTGTTTGACAGGATAAGGAGCTGAAAAGCAGTTTCCGCCAGGATCTGAAGGAAATCTGCAAAATTACAGTTGGAGAAAGACGAAAATGTGAATTTGAAAACATATTTTGAGGTAACATTGAAGCAAACAGGCTCAAGAAACTACAAGTGAAGCATATCAGAATAAATGCATTAGTAGTAAATTTATTGAAAAAGATACAACCATTAAGATGGATGATTCACGGTCCAGAAATATGTAACAGAAAGTTATGAAGTGCATTTTTATAGCTTTTTTTTTCATTTATTTACTCCTTTCAAGACTTTGCACAACAGTCACTGTTTTACTAACAACATTTAAAAAGACGGGTTCGCTTCGGTCGGCAAAATCATGAAACTAAATTAAAAATAGCCTAACTACAGTTACTACGCTTAGAAAAGTGGAGTTAAAATTAAACATAAAAAATGTAAAACGTTCTCTTATCTTACAAACTATGTTCACGTGGGTAATAAAAATTAAAACAAAAGTAAAAACCTTTGTCAGCACCATTTTCCTTTGTTTTTTAAACCCTCCATTTCTGTTTTATAAATTCCTACGACACGTTAAGATCCCCTTAAACATGCTTAATGAAAAAAGGACAGCCAATGTATTCAGACTAACGACCCCAGATACAAAATGTCCACTACTTTGCTTTCCAATTATTTCTTAACTCATAATTAATTATGGTGGCGAATAACATTTCTGTTCAAACACTGCAACAAAAGATGAAGTGACACAAAGAAGTGGCAACAAAATTAAATATTTATCAGTTATCTTGCTGGAATGGTTCATGATGAACGACCGCAACGGTCAAAAAAAGCCCAGCTGTATGCTGAGGTCGTCTCTGCAACAGGCAATTGTACCCCCCACCCAAAGTCCCTTGATCTTAACTCAATAAGAAAAGCCTTTTAACAATTTCAATCATCTTAAAAAAAAGTCAAAATGCACGGTTCTCCCTCCGAGTAAAGTTCTGTAAAGACTGTTTTATTGTCGCTGTGACATTTGCTGCCCCCTGCTGTTCCTGTGACCAAATAAAGGAGCAGGAAGTTCCTTCAGGTTTTGATTGTGCGTGACAACGTTTAACGTGTTCTCGCAAAGGTCCACGGTTTCAATCAGAAGTAGAGAGACAGTACAAGTCGACTGATAAAAGTTCAAAGTTCAAGGAGGATGTGTCCGTCAGTCGTGGGTACGCGTAGTGTGGGGGGCTTTAGGGGGGGGTGTTGGAGGAGCTGGTGTCGGGCAGAGCGCTGGGCTGCTGCTCCTCCGGTGTGCTGTCCGCCTGCAGCGACGCCAGGGCCGCCGACGAGAACTTGCACTTGGCAGAGCTGCACTCACAGCTGAACAGCTTGCTCTTTACTTCCCAGAAGTGGTCGCCATAGTTAAATCTGAAGAGAGAGCGGATGAGAAAGTGATTATGTTTCTTCCAGGACTTTTATTTGCAGGGTACTTGCATGTTGTGTATTTGTGTTAACCACAGATCTTATAACAGGCATCAAACCAAAACACGTAAAAATGGTAAAATGCTAACTCATTTCTGGGTTTTAGGACTCATTCCTGCACCACTCTATCAGGGCGGAAGTAAACCTAGGTGGTACCTTTACAGTGTTTTATACTATTTTACTTTTTACTTAAGAAATGACCCAACTCAACCTACAAGTGCCCTAATAACAAATCATGTTGTCTCATATTACTAAAGCTGATACACTGGATGGCTTTTAGAACGGTAAAGTTTTCAATACCACTACGCTGTTAAAGTGTTCAGTTTAATATTGTAACTGTGTAAATTCAAACACTTAACAGAGCTCTGGACACTGTATCATTTCCCATCAACTTGGGCATCAATAATTCATCCTATAATGCATTAAAATCGTCAACAATATGAAATGAAGTGTTACCCCAGCTCCTCTCCAGCCTTGATGTTCTCACTGGCGAAGAAGGCAATGTGTGGGAAACGGAGGTCCTGGTGCTTCGTGAAAACTCGGCAGGCGAACAGGTTGGGCTCGCACATGTGATTGAGGAAGCGGCTGATGTTGCCATAGAAACGAGCGTCGATGCAGTATTGATCTTGTGGCTGTGAGGGAGATAAATAGGAGACTCAAACTGAAACAACGTGACGGCTGAAAGGACAAGTAAAGAGGTGATGGGGTTAGGGCGCTTTACCTTATCGTCCAGGCTGAACAGGTACGTGTCGTTCTGCCTCATCTCTGCCTCTGCCTCGGAGATGATCTCCCCCACGTACCTGTTCAAAAGCAGGTGACCCGTCAGCAGACATCACTGAGTGCTTTTCATCTAATGCTGTTTACGACACGCCAACTCCTCAAGAGTGGGGAATTATAAGGTTTTATTTGGGAGGACTGCAGCTCTGAGATACTGAGCTTCAAAGACTTCACATCCCCCGCTGGTGAACCAATTCAACACCGAGTGGATGACTCCATTTAGATAATAAGAAACACATTTTATAATCTGCCTGGTGGTATCCACCAAAATATATTATACGATCACATGCATTTGTCAAGTCAAAAATGTATCCAATGAACTTGATTATTCTGTTCTGATGCCTGTATTTTGTTTAATAAGCATTGAGAAATATGGGTTTCTTGTACCTTACACAGAGAACACAAAACAAAAAAGGCCTTTATTGCTCTGTAATAACTTTGTGTCAGATTGTATATATCCCCCTGAGGGCTATTTGTTTTTCTCAAAATAAAGTTGACTTGATTTATTAACTTAAAGCTGCTGTGCTTCTGTTGCCAACACATACGGGTTAAAAAAAGAAAAAGTCCAGCGCACTGATTGGAGCTCACTGTGATAACATTAAATTCACAATATTTGGATTAAGAACGTGTTTCTCCAGACAGCTGCCACAGAACTGAATAGTAGTGATTTAAGAAATAAATAAAGAAGCTGTCATATAGTTTCAACACATTAGCAGGATAGTTACTGGTAAATCAGGGAAACACCTCCGTGACATCGACAGCACTTCAAAACGTGAAAAAGCACACCGTTAAACTCTGAGCTGATACCATGTGGCAAGAGATCCAAACTGCATGTGTGAGAGTAGCAGGTTTTTTTTTTTAAAAGGTCCCCTATTATGCTGTTTTCATCAATATATTATAGGTCTCAGATATATACAAAACATGTCTCTGAAGTGTTTGGCTCCAAACACCAAACAGATCATTCCAGCATCCCATAATCCCCTCTGTTTCTGCCCTGTTTCCAAAGTGCTGATTCTCTGTCTGTTACTTTAGATGAAAACAAGGAGCCCCTCCCCACGCCCCTCTGAGAGATATTTGGTTAAAAAGAACACAATGGTGCTCTAGGAGGAGATTCATTCAGGTGATAGGAGGGGGGGGGGCTACACAAGCCAAAAAAAAGTTATGACATCATAAAGTGGCCAAAATCTGATCAGCTCATTTTCAGACAGGTTTTTATATAAATGGATCAGGACAAAAACAGAGAGAATCTTTTTTCCTGAATCTTCCAGAGTCTCTTTACACAGAGGGGACACATGTTGATGTATAAAAGACATGAAGAAGTGGATTTTGCATAAGAGGTGACCTTTAAATTGGGGAAGAAGTAGAAAAACCTTGTTTGTATTTGGAAGTGAGACTTACTCGCATACAAAGGTCCCCTGTGGTATGTCATGTAGCGCACGCACACCCCAGCCCTTCTTACTGGTCCTGAAGAGCTGCAGCCTGGTCCTAGAAGATACACAACCACTTTATGTTACAGCTTTATAAAGAGATATTTAACTTTTCACACCTCACAAAAAAAGAAAAATGTAGTTACAACAAAATGCTTTAATAGTTCTAGTACTACAGATGTTTTAAACACAATTAATGGGTATAAACACAATAAACAGTGGTATAAATATTGAATACACATAGAAGTACATAGACAGTATAATATATACACTATAGACCAGTTAGGTATATATAAATAAAATAAGTAAATGACTAATGGGAAAATCAATTCTCTGTTGCATTAAGTTTTATTATTATTTGTTAACCCATGAAGTACCTGATTCCATTTTGCACGACGCGGTTCTTGCAGGTCCTCCAGCAGGAGCAGGCGTGGTTACACTCAAAGATGAGAGGAGGCTCCTCCCGGCAGAACTCAGGGAGCAGACGACCCTTCTGAACACGACAACAAAAGAAGAATTAAACTCACTTGCTTTTGGTCCGGTGCTGCTTGTACATAACCCTATGACCACCACAAAACACTGTCAAGTTGTAAAAGACATGTAAAAGTCTTTTAAAGCTGCTGAAATTACACCATTTCTCAGAGCCAAAAAACGTGAAAAACTAAATTATTGTCAGAGTCTTGGTGGTCCTTGAACAAATGATGTGTATCAAACGCTTCTTTCAGGAAAAACCACAACATTTGAGCTTAAATACTCAAATGTTATCTTAATCACTGTATTTCTACATTCAATATTTCACATTTTGACAGAATGCAGTAACCAGATTGCGTAAAAATCAAACCAACTGTGTCACGACAACATTTTAGTGAAACTTCGGCTGAGCGGCAGACAGATTTTAAGTTTAGTATGTATATCAGGTAGAGCCCCCCCCCCCCTCCATGTCTTTCTTTTAAATTGTATGTGGATACACAAGTGTTTCGGGGAACTGGAAATGTTTTTTGTCCAATTTTTCTAAAATAAATGATAAAAAAACTGCCACTTGCATTTCTTCCTTTTTAAAGGGCATTATATATTTGTTACACTGTAATCAAAATATTGAATAATTCCTACGTCTAGCCATTAATGTGCGATTTTCATAGATGTTGTTGGACTTGTATAATGCAAAGCGAGTCAACAGTGAGTAAAAAGTGACAGGAGGACTGCTTGGTGTTCAGATGCAGACGTGTCTGTTCTCACCTTGTCGTACCAGCAGCGCAGGCTGAGCTGTCCACACATGCAGATACTCGTTGAACAGTCTTCTTTACAAACGCAGTACTGTTATTCACCGGAAAGAGAGAAAAGAATACTGGTCATTTCACGCTGCCAATCACAGAGGGAATAAAAGCCTCTTTGTTTCAAATATCTGGTGGTGTGGTTTCTTACTGACCTGTAGGTGCGTTATGTTACGGTCGATGTTCATGGGCGAGGTGACGCAGTTTTCGGGGATGTATTTGTAGTCGTCTGGGTGAGGCTCACTGTCCACAGAGTTGACACACGGGAGGGGAATTCTCTCCTGTCCCAGAGCTATGTCACTGTAAACAGAGCAGACGATAATAAGAGTAAGTAGGCAACATTTAGTTATCAAGCGCTTTTCACAGACATATTCACAAAGTGCTGACAAAACATTAGAACAGGGGTGTCAAACTCAATTTCATTACGGGCCACATCAGCATCATGGTTGCACTCAAAGGGCCGGTTGTAACTTCAAGACTATATAAATATACATATATAAATATATAATATATATAAAATAATGTATTATATTACATGATTGCCTCTGCATTGGATTATTATCGGATAGGGTAATAACTTCATAATTAACTACGTCTGAAAGCAGAAGTCTAGGGCAAATAATTGCAAGTCTCTTCAGTGTGCATGTCACAAAATGATTTAAAAAGAAAAGCCAAATTCTGAAGAAAAAAAGTCTAATTTGAGATGCATTGTGGGGCATGTAGTTTATGGGCAATGTGCTTCTGTAAAGCGGCATGTAACCATATAATACACATATGATATTCTTTGCAAGCTCTTGTGGGTTTGCATGAAATGAAGTCGCGGGCCGGATTTGGCCCCCGGGCCTTGAGTTTGACACCCCTGCACTAGAGGTTTCTCAATACTCAAATTTCCCCTCCTAGACTCCTTTCCTCGACTCCTACCCTCGAGACTTGGTGCCGCCCACAGGAGATGCAGCGGAGACTGAGGAGGTGTAAACGCCGGAAGAGGAGACGAGGNCCCGTCCCTCTGTGTGTTATGAAGGTTTTTATGAATGTAAACGGTCTGCAGAGTCAAAACCCTCAAAGTACACCCTGTAGCGAGTAAAACTCTAACACAGAAAATACCTCCCCAAAACGCCTCGTTGGAGATACGTCACTGTCCATTGATTCTTCCGGGTACCTCATGATGTCAAGAGTTTCCCGGAACCAAACGGACCAATCCATGGACTTCCTCACACACACACTCAGTGCATGCAGCTCTGCTGATTTCTCCTGCCTGGCTGCAGGCTGATGGGACACACAGTTGGGATCGCGGAGAAATTCTCTCTGCAGACCCATTCTCACAGCGTTTATCAACCTTTTTCTTACTCAATATCAAGCCACACTTATTGTTTTTACTTCGGCTGTGACTTTGTGTGTGCTCAGGGTGAGTTTGGCTGTGTTTCGCTGTGTATCGCTAAACAAGGAAACCACACCTCCACGGAGCTCAGCGCGATTCACAACGTCCCGACCAATCAGAGCACACTGTGCTCACAGGGAGGGTGGGGGCTGGAGCTACTGGAGCTACAACGAGCCGTTAAAGGCAGAGAGTGAAATTCAGTGAATACACGTAGTTTACAGAGATGCTGTATGAGAAACCAAAGTGAGTTCGGAAAATTGCACAGTATAAATCTATTCTAGTAGACGTCAACAATGGAATTATGATCAGTGGAAATGGCCATGAAATGGGACCTTTAAGTTGAAATATTTTTGCAGCAACATGACCCCAGGTGAAGCACTTTTTCTCGAGGCGACGACATTCAACAGCATTCGCCAACTCCTCATTCGAACCAAATGAAAATAGATGCTGGCGCTATGTGGACACAGGCTCTTAGTTTTTCAGTTTGAAGCAATCCTCTTGTTTAAAACTACAGGTACAAAAAACTAACGTGTGTTCTATTTTCTAAAGACATTAACTCACGTGACACATTCTAAGCGGTTCTCCCGAGCAGCGATGTGCAGAGGAGAGTCTCCGTGGATGTTCACGACCTGCAGGTCACAGCGAGCGTTCAGGAGCAGCTCGGCGATCTCCACGCTGCCGGAGAACGCCGCCCAGTGCAGGCAGATGTTCTCCTCCTAGACAAAAAAAGAAACCATTAACACCATTAGACAACATTCTTTCTTCTGTAACTCATGTGAGACACAGAGTGCTCATTAGCCAACCTTGTCCCTGATGCTGATGTCGGCTCCTTTGCACAGCAGCAGCTTCACCTGGTCCGCGTGCTTATACTCTGTCGCCCAGATCATGGCTGTCCAACCTCCATCATCCTGAGGAGAATAAGACAAGCTCAGCTGACTGATCACTGATCAGCTGACTGAATCTGAAACACACCTATATGACAAAAGTCATTTGTTTCTGTACTGTGAATAATTTAACAGGTGTTGACATCTCGTTTACTTGAACAAGTGCATTTGAAGGGAAGCCTACAGTGTGTAGAAAATACTGACACCCTCTCTAGTTAAAATATTTGTGTATTCCTTTTTCTTGCGTGTTATTTCCAATTGGAGATCCTTCCTAAGAGCTAATTGTTCGGATAGTGTGTGAAATGAAGTTGAATCCGACTCCTAATAGTGATTTCACATCAACAAAGCTCATCTTTGAGAAGACTTAAAACTTTTTCGTAGGGCTGTACCAAATGCCTTTTGAAGCTTCAAAGCTTCTATTGAGGTTTTTGATTGAAGCGCCAAATGTCTGTTGTTATATTTTATGACGTCATCATCCCAAAAAAAAATATTGAATGAAATCCTGAGAGTATCAAGAGGGTTGAAAGGGAAATGTGAAACGGTACCAACCTGACAGTTGATGTTGATCACTCCGGTGTTCAGAAGGTACTCAACGATGTTGTAATGACCAGACTTTGCCGCTAGGTGGAAACACGTGAACCCTTCAACATCCTGAGAGCAGCAGAGAAGCCAATTATTGACAGTTCCTCAACTCTCAAGATACAAGTTATAAAAATATTTAATCTTTATTTGTAAAGTACTTTTCAAAACAAAGTGCTGTACAAGATAAACACGCCAGACAACCAATGATAAACTGTTTTAAATGTATTTAATGCATATGACAAAAAGTACAAGAGAATATTTTTTATAAAATAAATAAAAACTAAATAATAATCCAAATAATAAAATACAAGAAAATGCTTTAAATATATATATATATATAAATAGGTTTTATGTGGATAATCAGCCCTCAAACCCTGTGAATAACACACTAATTTAATGTGTTTTTTAGTAGGGGTTTAAAATAGGATACAAAGCTTTCCAGTCTAATATCCTCAGAGAGGTGGGGGCCCTAAAAGAAAAGGCCCTTGGTCACCGTTGGTATGTGGATATGATGAAATAATTTATATATTTAGCAAGAAACCACTTAAATAAATTACATTTTTTTTTAATTTAATTTGTACAGAAAGTATAAAGTTAGAGCACCAGTCCAACAGCTGCCAAAACCTTTTACCTGGTTAAATAAAGGATATATATATATAGAAAACAATCAGACGGTCAAATACACCAGGTAGAAACTATCTGCAGGTGTACCTTGTGAGTGGCGCTGGCTCCGGCTCTCAGCAGGTACTGCACCACCTCTATGAAGTTGTTCTCACAGGCCTCCATCAGTGGCGTCCGCTGATCTTCATCACACATGTCCAGGTTCGCTCCGGACTGAAGTGATAGGTTTCATTTTAAAATGTGACATTAGGATCTATCACATACGTCTGGACATGGCAGGGCTGAATGATTATCAGTAAGAGAGTCTGACCTGTACGAGCATGTGGCAGATGTCTTTGAAGCCTCCCTCCGCTGCAGCGTGGAGCGGGGTGCGCTTGTTCTGAGACTCCATCTTAAAGTTTGGGTCGATACCGTCCACTGGAAGGAAAATGGAGAAGGAAACATCTTCATTAAAAGGATATGGATGAAAACAAACAGTAGATGCATTTAAAAGAACACTAAATGGAGACTATAAAGAGGAACAGACGGGGTTAACATACCCAACATATGCAACACCTTCTTGAGTTCTCCCTGTTTGGCTGAGAGGTAAAGTTGTTTGGGGTGAAAACGCAGCTTCTTAGGCCTGAGGAAAAGACGCAGAAGAAAAAATAAGTGAGTGTTTCTTTATGTTTACCTCACAGGCTTGTTCTCAGCCAGATGAAACAGAAAGACACTCTGAAGGTGGAGCTTACTTCTCTGTATCTAGAGCCACGAGGATGCTCTCCAGAGTCTCTCTGGGGGCCCCCTGCTGGACTGTAGGGGGCAGCATGCTCCCCGCCTGCAGCGCTTCGCCCTGCGCTGCGCTGGGAACAGCCAGCGAGTCGAGGCCGTGTGAGAAACGAGCGGGAAGCGAGCTGTCGGCACGGCCGCTGACCTCAGAACCCACGGCCAGACGAGAGGAGCTGGAGAACAACATGGAAAAGTATTTTAGCAGTGCTATGAATGTTATAATATTTTCTTTTGTGTGTGGCAAGCAGGACAGCAAGCCCTTTTTTGAACACAGTGAAATAGTTGTTTTGGAAATGCTTAGTATCTATTTTCTTATTACTTTTGAATTTGGACAAATCAAAGCCCTGAAGTTTTTGGAATTGTTTGGATCACATGAGTTGGAAACAGACCAGTCTATAAACAGTATGTGTCTGATCATATAGTGTAGCTGTTAATTGACATGCAAAACAAGGCTGGACAGCATCTAAAATGTTGATTAAGAATTTGAATGTCAAGGATTCAAATACATTTTTAAAGCTTTACTTTGGTATTCATTATTTTACACCTTTAAAAATCTTCTGTAGAGGAAACAAAAAGTCAAATCGGCTGCCTTCACATTGTTTATGTTTATTCACTAATAGGTTACCAAGTCTCCCAACATGAGCATCATACACCTGTTGATCATCATGTGATCCTTCACCTGTCAGTGGTGGTGTCTGCTCGGCCCTCGGGGGCCCCGGGTGTTGCAGCGCCGTGTGTGAGTGCGGGGGGGACGGTGGAGGTGGTGTCGGCCTTGGCGATGGTCACCTCCTTGGCCTTGCTGGCCTCCTCTCCGCAGTGCGGACAGAAGCTTTGACCTTTCAGCATGGAGGCGCAGGCGCGGTGGAAACGATGAGAGATGCTGAGGTCCGGTTGGCACTCCATGAAGGTCCCCTAAAGGTGAAATGTATAAAGTCAAAACAATGAATGACTTGTGTGGAGTTTTGCTCAAGAGCACTTCAGCAGCAGGCCTGTATTTGCTGCAGCTTAAGGATATATTGTGTTTTTGCGTAAGGGATCATGTGCAGCGAGGCGGTCATTATTGAAAGAAAAAAAAAAAACACCTGACAGGGCGATAATGGAGCCTGACGTGAATGACGCTATTTACACAAACTAAATAATTGTATGACTTGACTACCAATATTAATTGATATAATTTTATTGACTTAAAAAAGGGTCGTATTGCTTCCGTTAAGAAAAAAGATAGTCCCTACAAACAGCTGGAACTGAGAAAACATCGTAACTTTAAATGACGGCATCACTGATTGAGATTTGCCCTAAAGAATGTTATGTATATCCTTTCATTTCAGATATACTGTGTTCAAAAGTAAATACATGTATTGTATAGATTTGTTTACACTCTTAAGACTCATCATCTGGACCACACCCCCTTAGTTTATCTACTTATATAAATTGCTTGCATGTGTGTGTGTGTGTGTGTGTGTGTGTGTGTGTGTGTGTGTGTGTGTGTGTGTGTGTGTGTGTGTGTGTGTGTGTGTGTGTGTGTGTGTGTGAGTGTGTGTACTCACAGCCCTGCAGAAGAAACCACAGCCGGGGCAGCACTGGTGCTTCACCATGCCGTTGCGGTGATCCTCGCACAGCACCAGCAGCTGCACAGAGTTGGAGGGGCGCATCATTTCGTGTTTCAAGATGGCGCCCTGGCAGCGGCTCAGCTGTCCGTCCACGCTCTCCGTGGCCATGCACTTCCTGTCGGCCAGCGTGAGGATCTCTCGACTCTTCGGCGTCTCCATGCGGCAACTGCAGAGAGGGAGCTCCTGAGCCTCCTCCATCGCTGACCCTGAAGCTTCTGCAAAGAAATGTCTGACTTTACTTACATGTACCTCAATATTTATATTATAACATACATGCTATACAAGTACAATTTGCTAATTTTGACTATAAATCTTGTGTTTGTATAAATATTTTTGTTCTATCCTGTTTTTTATCGGACGTATAACTTTAACTTCTTTTGTTTAAAAAAATATGACCAAGGAAGCCAAACTGTTCTTTGAGCATCTGCACAAGGTTTCACTTACTAACTTAGAAACATAGTCACAGCATTGAGATGTTAATCAAATCACAGGATAGGAAAACAAATCAAATCAGACCAGACATTCCACGGAAGTACTTGATATGTGGGGCTTCAAATATGTTTTTTGTTATGGTACCAAACAAGAACTGAAGCTGACTGACTAGAATAACAAAAACCAATCAGCTGGACTGAGTGTGCTGAGACTTTTGGAGGAAACAAACACATATCTCATAAGAGAATGATCTTTAAGACGTAGCAGTCAGGCAGGTGTCTGTAGCTACTGAAATGTGGGAGTTTTCTGGCACACACATGAACTCTATATGCTATATATCTACCAGAACCTGGTGGAACGATTAAAACACAGGAGCCGTTAGCGGGTGGAATCACACCAATACGTTTTAACTCCATTGATCAAAGCATATCAAAGGAAATACACAATGGGTACAAGACGTGATAGATTATCCTAAACCACTTAAGCGAGTGTCCTTATTTCTTCTGAGCTCACCTTTGTTCTGAGCGGGAGCCGCTGCCTCTTGGGGCTGATGGAGGGGGAGGGAGTCGGGTGAGGAGATCTGAGTGCTCTCCTTCACCTCGTCAGTCTGAGCCGGAGCGGAGGCTTGAAGCTGATCCACCGCCTCCATTTCTGAGGGATCCACAGAGATCAGTAAGAAAATGCTTCAATGTTTACGATCACCTTCATGCCGTCTTAAGCAACAAAGCCAAACGTGGTTTTGTATCGTTTCTATTTTTACTTCTATTGTTATAATCCAAGCCATGGAGATCTTGAGCTGGTGTGTGTGTGTGTGTGTGTGTGTGTGTGTGTGTGTGTGTGTGTGTGTGTGTGTGTGTGTGTGTGTGTGTGTGTGTGTGTTCAACATATGCACTACAGCTGACTGAATATATGAGAGTGTGACAGGCGATCACCTTTGGCCTTTATCCGCCTCTTCCGTTTCCTGGCCGGCCTGAGCCACGCAGCGTCTCGCTTTAACTTATTTTTCAGTTTCTTCTTCAGACTGGACTCTGTGCTCTGAGACAGACAAAAACATGTTCTTCTGTAACAGAGTGCTTCAAGGATGACCGATTGTTGTATGTCAGCCCAGATATTAACACATTAGTGTCCTCATGCAGATTATAATGGTATTTTTCAGCAAGATAATCTTCACAAATGAACATCCCGTAATGATTTTTGAAGCGTAAAAGTAATAAGCTAATAATGTAGACAAAACATACAACAGTGGTGTGAATTCAAGTCACCAACACTACGTTTTAGACTATATATTTGATTTCTGCGCATAATTGCATGAAACAAAAGCCTTTTCCCTTTCTGTTATGTCATATTTCAGGCATTTCACCAAAACAACTTCAAGACAACAGAACCTAAGCGGCAAAATGCTGACTCTAATGTGGGTTTTCACTTCTGCACCACTATATAAGTGTTGATGTGAGAAGAAGGTTGAGTCATTGAGTGAAGCAGGAACAAGACCTCAACCCACAAATGAGTCAGCATTTAGAACTTCCAGTTGTCTCATCTCAAAGTGAACGTTTTTTGAACTTGTCTCAGAGCTGGTGGCGCACAGTTATACGACCATAATGTAACTTTTTACTTCAGGGGATTGCATTAACGCTTTGACTGTTGCATCCCCGCTGTCTCATGGAGAGATACCGCAGGTCTTTCCTTCCTGCAGCGGTCAGATTATACAACCAGCAAAGCCCCTAGTTGACCCCCCCCCACACACAGACTATATCACCCCTTGCTGCTAAATACCAACAAACTATGTGCTAGATGTGCAATATATAAATGCCGTTAATAAATGTGTAATATATACCTGGCTGCTAAATCCTAAGAACTGTTACAGGATGTGAATTCTTTTTTTAATTATGTAACTTTTTATTTTTTATTATATTTTTTATTATATCATAACTTAGTACTTATGTATATGTAACACTAAGGTGTCTGTGGCTCTTTTCCCTGCTGTAACTACGCACATTTCCCCTCCGTGGGACTAATAAAGGTATTCTGATTCTGAACTGTTGCAGAATGTCTTGATGAACAAAACACAAGTTACAATAAATGTGTGTTATTGCCAGATATCTAATTTTCTGCTAGATTCTGAAATCCCATTAGCTTTGTCAAGGCAGCCCTGATGCCAACTTCCAGGTCAGCCTACAAAACTACGTCATCACTTTACCACCCAATAATGTTGGATCTTACCAGGTCTGACTCTGTGCCCTCCTCCTCTCCCCCTTCTTCTGCAGACTCTTCAAACTCCTGCTCATCTCCCCCCTTCACCACAAACACGAAACAGAGTTCATCACACGTTAACACGGACCGTATGCAAACAGGCTTTCACTCTAATAGATTACTCATATATTTGGTTCAACAGAACTGTTCCACTGACTGAATCCTTGCACCTGTAGGGTTTTTAATGTATTCCAGCAACACTGGTCATTTTTAAGACCTCACTTAAAGGTGGGGTAGGTAATTCACTTCAGAAACACTTGTTGTTATATTCCATGGAATGCTCTTAACATCCAGATAGCAATGAATACATTAAATGCTTTGACAATAAATACAGAAAAAAATGTCATCTGTGGAAGCCGTAGCGCTGTAAAAAAGCACGACCAATGATCTGAGCCGGCCCGGCTAAAGTAACTGGATGGCACAAACTTATCTCGTGCCCTCATTGGTCATGTGCGCGTTCGTGTGTGTTGGGGGAGGGGCTCTGTAAGGAAGTCTGATTTTTTCCGGTTGTGTATTTTCAAAAATTCTAGCGCACTCGAGCTGGTTTCTCCATTCTTACCTACCCTACCTTTAATCACACATATCCCAAATACAGTTGTTTACTGACTTTTAGATTCTCCTTTCTGAAAACAATGACTACATTTTCTTTTATAAATGATGCACTTTGATAAAGTAGTAATGACCATGATGTAATGTCAGGATAAAAGTCGTGTTTCTGTTCCGACCTGAGAGGGTTCGGATGTTTCCTCCTGGGCCGCACCGGCAGCTTCTCCTGCTGGCTGCTGCCGCTCCTCTTCCTCAGACTCCACCTCCTCGGACTCTTCCTCCTCCTCAGATACATTTTCCACCTTCTCCCCGTTTATGTTAGGTATAACTTTACTCTGTGAGACAGGAGAGGACTACATGATGATCATAACAAAATATGCTGTCAAATATACTGTTATAAAACATGTGGTTTGGTCAGAATATTAAAATAACAGCTTCTGTACAGCCGCTTGTCTTTACTTTAGCTTTAAGGTTTTTAGGAATAACACATTTATTTTGTAATGTTTGGGCTTTCTTGGATTACGCTATGACAGATCTCAAATCTCAGTTATTGACACTAGTACCGGAAAACATCTTAATGACACTTAGTCCATCATAATGCTCTTCCATTTGGAGATTTCCCATTTTACTCCATTTTTATATATTATTAAAATAAATATCTTTGGGCTTTGGTCTGACAAAACAAGACACTTAAAGACATCTCCTTGGATTTGAGAGAAACTGGCATTGACGTCTTTTAATATCATATGAGATTTTATAAGACCAAACCAAAAATGTATGAATCTAAAACCTAAATCGGCAAATTCTGCCTGCAATAGTAGAATGTGCTTAAAAATAAGGCGAGTATGAAACAAAGAAAAACGTTAAAACTTATGAAGGGATTTTAATTTGTTTGTCAAACTGATGTCAGTGTTTAAATAAGGTCATCAATTAAACATAAAGATTGTGTTGTTTTTTGTGATGAATGTCAGGAGCACATACCTGCAGGCTTTTTGCAGACTGTTCCATTCCCTTAAACATTTCCAGCATAGTTCTCTGCTTAAGCACTTTGGTTTTCTTCTTGGGAACCAGACTGTACATTCCCATCCTCCGCTTCTTCTTACGGGACGACAAGCCTCCTGAGAAAGGGCCTACAGCACCGAGAGAACACACAGACACATTTACAGCACAACTGCCGGTAGATGGGCCGCTCAATAGCTCACCGGGTAGAGTTGTTGTCATGTGTTGTTGCCGTCTGTCTGACCTAGGAGGAGTTTGACTGGAGCTGGACGAGCTGGAGGTGATGCAGGAGCTGCTGGTGAAGCTGACGGAGCAGTTTGTGCTGAAGCTGGTGTATCCGGTGGACTCTGAGGTAGGTGGTTCTGCTGCGGGGGTTTCTGAGCAGCAGGTGAAACTTCAGTCTCCATTTTGGCAGTCTGAGCTTCTCTTAATTCCCTGTTAATAAGCTGAAGGAAGAACCAAACAAAAACAAAAGCATGCATGATCACTGTGTTACCGAGGGATTTACTTTAAGCCTGTTTGTTACTGGGAGAACTCCATGTTTAGTTTGCTTCGGACCAATCGACACCACAAAATACCCTGATTAGTTGATTTTTAAGAAGGGAACAGATTCTATTAATCTTTTCACTTAGATTTGTTTCCTGCTGCGAGGAACACTTACCATTGTGTGTTACATTTATAAAAGCTCCTCCTACAAGCACAGCTCAGTAAGTAGTTCTGGTAAATGAAATACTTCAGTTGTGTTTCATGTGAATTGTGACATTGCAACATATTGTGTGATTAACAAACAATTGTGGACATGTTGGGTCCTTTTGGACCAATCAAACCGTCATCAACGGAATCCAAATTGAGTCAAATGTCTACAATATCACCCTAAGTAAAGACACAATGAGAGAGGAGAGACTAGTGTGCTGCTACTTATCCCATGGTTTACCTTTTGAGCCGGGCTGACAGCCGGTCTGGACATGGTCTTGCGCGCTCTGTGTATGGTGACGGGAGCCGGGGCCGGAAAGGAGGCTGTGCCATTTTTAGTGTCTGGTGTCTCCGGTCCTGACGTAGTCCCTGTACTGGGATCAGTCCTTAGAGCCCCTGAAGTGTGTGTGCACCCAGAGTCCGAGGCCGGGGGAGATTTGGCCCGGTTTCCCCCTGTCGGTGAGCCCGAAGGCAGCCAGTTAGTCCTGTGGGGGGAAACTCCCGAACCCAGCGTCGCTGAAGAGACACCTTCCTGCTGCTGCTGCTGCTGCTTTGTGAGAATGAATCCGTTGCTTCCGGTAACAGAAGCGTGCGGTGGCTCCATATCTAACGCGCCGTTTTCATTCACCAGCGGTAAAGTCTTGTTGTTGAATGGAGAGCCGTGAGTCGGGCTCTTGTGCCTCGTGTCGTCACATTCAGTCCCATTCAGCATGGTCTCTGCTGGAGGGGAAGAAGCCAGTCTGGCTGCTACTTCTTTCTCTCTATCTATAGGAGAAAACAACAGAGAAAGATGCAAATTACAATGTAAACATATCATTTTCATAAATTAAGTGCTATCAGGTTTCATTTGAATAATACCTGGTTTCTCCTCTCCGTTGCTCGCTGCTTCGAGTTCCTCTTTCTTTGAGAATGTAGCCTTCTCCAGGCTGCCCTTGGCTAGACCAGCGGGCTACAGGGAAAAGAAGAAGGGAAATCAAATAAAGAGCTCCAAAGCAATATTATGTTATCTTCATTATCAATCAATATCTTTAGCAAATAACCGGTAGGTCTAAAAACTGTCAAAAAGTCCCATCACAAGTTCCCAAAGCCCAGGGTCACCTCTTTAAAACATCTGCCCAACAGTTCAAAACCCAAAGATGTTACATTTATGATATAAGAGCAGAAATATTTCCTTTAAAATGTGATGGACAGTCAATTGGGGGAAATGGCCTTTATCGACTATTTGTTTATGGCGTATACCATATGCAAAAACACCAAACAATCTCTGTAACAATTATCTGTTTTATAATAATTCAAAGGAAATTGATTGAATGATAAATGTACTATTTGAAAACACAGTAGCCAGTCAGACTGTTCATAAAAATAACTGTCAAAGCCCTAAATTGTATAATTTTGTTAGGAAAGCAGCAGAATGTTTAGCCCCATTTATTTTCAATCCAATGAGAAACTAGATGATTACCCAATTACTGATCTGTAAAGCAAAACTCATAGCATGAGCACCTAAAAAAACGATCGCGTTTATGCAATGAATTCAGAGTAAAGTCCTCTTTTCAGTGACGTGCTTTGTCCGAATCAAAGACTATAGAGAAGTCAAGAGAATGCAGGCGACCCCCGTCCTCTTTTATTGTCTTCTTCTCTCTTTCTGTGCCACAGCCAGCCAGCAGATGCACAGCCGGGGCTTCAAAAGGTAATCTCAGCCGCCCACAGACCGTGTTTTACAACTCGCGGGAGGAAGCCGTTGAAGAGGCAGCACCAGGAAGCGCTACACTCTCTACTCCTCCTGAGCTGAGCGTCCACCTCCTGCTCACTCTGGGATAAATGGGCCCAGAGGACACAAAAGAGGCCTCAGAGGAAACCATCATGAATCTACACTTTGCCTCTTTGGGTGTAACTTGTCAAAGCCACCCTGTTTGTCTTCACACTTAGGCAAGTATTTAGATCAAATATCAAAAGGGGCTAGGTCATTTTGAGAAGCATTTATTTAGAACACAGCAGGATAGTTTACAGTCTCCTCTACGCTATGTGAGGCTCACACCAAACAGACTACATGTAGACATACTCTGCTAGGGGCTGCTGGGGTCATATCTAGTGACTAGTAAGGGCAGAATCTGATTATCACAAGAAAGCAGAGAAAACATATTCTCCCCAAAGTAAGGCAATCACCAGGCCTGCAGCAGACAGAGAGCTCAGTCAGTTCCCCCCTCACAGTCAAACACTCAGATTTAACACAGGGTGTCCTGGAACCTGCAGACAAGCCAGACCCCAAGCCCGACTGAATGGGCCATCAGGACAGGCTTCCCAAATCACTCCCAAACACGATCATGCACCTCGTCATTTAGCAACAAGGTCAGGCCAGGAGCACACAATCTGAGGGTGTCTCCCAAAGAACATCTAGTCTGGGACATGATCTGAAGGAATCTAGTGAGCACATGTCAGAGTGAAGAGAAGGTGAGTCCTTAAGTTCCTGTTTTCCATGGATTAAGGAGAGCCACTCACAAAAAGAACCCCACACCAGCCTCATCCCTCCCCCTAGTGGTGGAAAGTGGAACTTACACAGTGGAAACAGAAAGGAGAGGGGGGAGGGTAGACAGAGAAGCCTGTCTGCAGATCTCTCCGCCATTTCGCAAACCAAATTGTTTACTGACACAAGGCGGCCATTGCAGCTTTTTTCCACTAGATGGGGAATGTAAGGTTCTGGAGGCTCGTGGATTCAGGAAGCTGCTGAATTAAGCTCTACATGTGAAGCCAGTGCTTTAAGGCCAGGTGACAAACCTTAGAACATATTAGAAAAATAGAAATATGTTAAAAAAGCTGCAAAAATAAAAGGACCAATGGTTGAGAGTTTGCACTCCAGATTGGAACTTGTGTATTTTTTTAAACAAACAAGCTTAGTAATTACTCAGCTCCTGATAGATAATATATCTAATGCTATAAACATACATAGCATACTGGGTATGAGGCCTGGATGTTTGCACTGATCTTAGACTCTACTGCAGGAGGCCTGAAACCAGTCAGGGCCACCTAAACACAAGCACATTACACAACCAGCTGTTTCACTGCCAAAAGACACGCACAAGGTGGCAACACCCAAATGAGATGCAATGATAAAAGAAAGGTACACAACTGCATTTCACACATCCAATCTGAAGCAATGATGGCCACATGTTTGTCATATGAGCTCTTAAAATGCAGCATGCAAAACCTTGTCTTTGGGATGCCAGGTATTTGACAAAAGAGGGATTCTCCTGTTCTCAGATAGTCTTTTTTAAATCATTCAGAGAGGCCTGAGGAGGTGGTCTTACAAGAAAAAAAACAGAAGGGAGAAAAAAAAACTTGATTTTTGCAGGCAGACATGGTTTCTTTATCTTTTGTATCTCCTTAACCATCTTGCAGTCTGTTTTGTACCACCGTAAACATTTCTGACTATTGTTCTAAAGAAATGTGACTGAAAAAAAGATAGGTTTTGCATATTCTTTACCCAAAAGTGCCAATGCATTTTGATCTAGCCGTAATGATCCCAGTCTGCCCTCAGAGCGTCATCAATCCTCTCCTACGTCATTTCCTTTCCCCCCTTTAATGTCCACTTTCTCAATAAAGGCAAACAAGCCCTAAAATCTGTCTCTTTGAGCCAATTCTGCATGAAATCTTGAATTAACTCCAGGAATACTTGTAAAAACTGATCCAAGCGATGCAAAGTCTAGTCCTCAGACAGAAAGCTGCTCAGAAGATTGAAGCCGGTAAACATTGAGGCTCACACTGCAGCCTAACATGCATCCCTTGGCTTGGTGAGCAGGCACTGCAGCTTTTATGTTCCAGTATATTCCTGATCACAGAGCATAAGACGCACTACACATCCAGGCCCCTGGGACCTCATTATACACTGACCATGGGGGATCAAAGAAATGGTACGACAACAAGGAAGATTTTTCTAAATCAACTCTCAGGACAGTGTCAAGTTCTTCTGACGTTCATTCTAATGAATCAAGTTACATCTCCCATGCTGTGACTGCTCTGAATACAGCTGTGCTATTACATGAGGAGCTTTCTCAAACAACAAGATCCATCGAGACACGCTGAAATCTCTCTTTGATCCAGCAGCACCGACACCAAGATACAAAACATTGCTCCTCGAGATTTAAGTCCTTGACTTCAAGAATCAAGAGCAATCAGTTGCTGATGAAGACGCTGCAACTATTTAGAGAAGCATCTCAACGTGAAGGCAGAGAGACCTGAACAAAACTGTAACTTGTGTTTAAAAAAGGGCTCAATGGAGCTGAGAAACAAGACCATGCCCTCCTTACATTACTCAAAGCTAACAGAGGGTGAAGAGTAACAAGCTATCATGTCTTTCCCTAGTGCCTTGAAGAAGCATCATACCTGCTCTCTTCTCATAGCCTCCATTGAAGAAGAAGGCGTCAGAGAGAGGGAGTGGATGAGGGAGAGTGCGTGCGTGCGAGAGAGAGAGAGGGAAAGGGGGAGAGCGGCAATGTGTCGAACAGATTGCCCGTCTTTTCCTTTTTCTTTCCCCGCATGCACATTCACTTCGCCGGTCATGTGACCTGGTGGCTCCCTCTGTCGGTCCTCCTCTTCAGAGGGTCTCCACAGAGCATGCTCAGTCAGCTTTCACTGTAACGCCACTCCATTTCTCTCAACTAGAGAACGGAAGAAATCACACTAGGAGGGACACGCCATACGTATACTATCCAAATAATATCAATTACACTGGAGACATGTTGAAATACAATGCTAGTGTTTTCATCTGGCTTCTTTTGGTGTCAATTTTAGTTTTGAAGGCAGGATCATTTTACCATTTGCTTTGCTGCTTTGTGAACAACGGACATATATTTTAGTCAATGAGTTTTTGAGAGGAAAAGGGCTTTTAAGAGTGTGTGTTTGTATGCGTAGGCTCTTGAGGAGCTCCAACAGAAGAAGGAGGGGGGAAATGGAGGCGGTAATAAGAGTAAAGGCCCGAGAAGCAAACCGGATGTCAGTGAGGAACCTGATGAAGTCAAACATTCTCAATCGCAGACATCAGGCCACATATGAAGCCCTCAACAGGAGAGTCTTTTGTTTCCGGCCAGTGAAGCAGCAAAACCCCACGCCACCATGCCATGAAAAAGATATTGAATTCACAGAAATGAAGTAACCGACTGAGGAAAATTCTGAAATAAGTTCCAAAATGAATCTTTGTCTGACTAACAGCACAACATCAGAGAAGAAGCAGCAAGTTCTCCAACACAATGAGGCCTTTTATAACAATTCAAGGATAAATAGAATAGTATTTTTGCAAACGGGTGTGCTTCCTTCTCGGGGGATGTTACAGCCACGTTGGAATGCAGATGTTGGCCGATTGAAACAATGAGAAACAACCTTGACCTGGCAGACAGGCTTAGGTTTATCTACTTTCAGGGATCAATGCACACAAATAAGGGAAATAAGTTCTTCCCTTCAACCATGGCAGAGTTGCAATAAAGAAATCAGATACTGTGAATGAAATAGAGGTAAGGAGCCAGTGAACAGTCTCTTTGAACTATGCAACACACAAAATACAAAAGGAGGCCACCCATAAGCAAAGAAAACAACAGCGTATTGCTACTGTACTGGAGCTTGCAATAACAAAATGTGAAAGTCATGGAGCCTACAGCATTGTGCTTATTTTAGCTTCAATGTTTACGCATTGTAAAAAAGATAAGCTTCATCAACAGGTTTAAACTTAACCAATGAAGAGAAAGGTTAAGATAATAAACTGATAACTAATGTGAGGCCTTGCCAACAACCTTGTCAACAACCTTGCCAAAGTTCTTAGGAAAGGCAATGTTAAACTAGCTGTTGGTCCACACAGAAACATCTAAACTAATGGATTGATTTCCATGACAAAGTCGCTCATGTTTCACGGAGGATAAAGCCAACTGATTTGGTTAACGATGAGGTTAACCTTTTTCACCGGGAGTGAAATATCTTGACAACTATTGGATGGAGTGCGATGGACTTTGGTAGAAATGTCTTTAAATCCTTGGGTCTCTAGCTGAACACACCCACTTGTCTGAGTGCACCACCCAAGCAATCTTAAAACAGAAAGCCTGTCTCTTAAACCATAGGTCACTTCTTTGCTTTGTTTTCACCATTCCTATATTTAGCTATCAATCAATGTGTTTGGAAGTTTTCATGAGGATTTAAGATCTCCTAATAACGAAACAAAAACACTTGTTTCCAGTCATCCCATGACTTTTCTTCTGGCAATGCACAAAAGTCAACGCACATAAAATCTAAAGGCTTAGCGCTTTTTTCCTCAAAACAGAAATGTTAAACTATAACCTAAATTATGTTGTATTGATTTTTGGAAATTGATTTAGAGTCATGGAAGATAATAATTGTGATTCCTAAGTGAATTGAATGTGCCCCTTTATCTCTTGTGATCAAACAAAACTCATATTATCACTTATACCTGATGCACGTCTCTTAACTAAGTGGTCACCTACATACCTATTCTAAGCAATGATCAGAACATGTGTGTGATTGTTCTTTGTTTATCACATAGTCATTTGTCAGCCAGCACCATAATGCCCATACAATTCTTTGGAGACACAAGGGGACATTTATTTCAGCTGAGAATATAATGACCAATACATCAAGATCAGACTTAATGTTCTTCTTAAAATGCAAAAAGATTGCCTTGCTTACAGAATAGCAATATCTAGAATGTTAATCCCTGTATATGGATGAGTATCATGTCACCACATTTTCCCAATACACATCATTATAATGGAGCCAAAAGCACATTCAACCAAACCTTTTTCCTGCTGTTTTTTCTTTCCGAGTTCCTGAACACTGAGGGACCAGGAAATCAGAAACACCTGCTTGATGTTGTGCAGATAACAATGCCTTACCTCAAAGCTGAAATGCAAACCTTTCTTAGTTAAAATATGGTCATTTGTGGTATTGCAAATGACAAGTGGCAATGTAAATTCAGTGTGTATGAAATGGCTTGCCCTTATTTCAACTTTAGTAGAGGCTGATTGGAATAAAGAGCAAGCTTTGACACAATCTTCTGCACCAAATATAAAACAAAACAAAAATTGCCAGTGAGGGGAAGCAATAAGGTGATGCTCCAAGATGAGGGTTTATATTGGGTTATAGGCATAGACCTAGCCATAAGGGCTGCACATAACAGTTATTTGCTTTGTCTTATAAACTATGGAAACTTTTTCAATCAAACAATAAGTCATTTAATTGTGCATTTGAAAACTAAGATACATTTTTAATTGCAACAATGTGGGCAATCATGTTCAGTCAATACATGTATCTATTAATTGATCAATTAGTGAAGTAGGATCCAGCCACTTTAATGACAACGGATTTCATTGGGACTATTTTTTTGGAGAAAGTAGTTCCAGTGAAAACAGACAATGGTGAGGTGATTTCAAGGTTTATAAAAACCTGTTTGTTCTAAACTTTAGTCTAAATCAATTTCCCCCTTATATCGGGTTGCATTATTTGTAAACAAATATAACTAATTGTGATTGTTTAGACTTGTATTGCAATTGCAATATGATCCACGAAAAAGGAGGGATTGATCACTTGTCAAATACAATTCGTATCATAATTGAAACACAAATACATTAATTATTATACTTTTTTAGGAGTATCTGTACCAAACCAATATGTTCTGTTAAATCTGTAAAATAATATTCAAAGGCCTAGACATCTCTGCAGCACTACACTACCTGTTTTAGTAGGTATGTTAACATATTTAGCCTGTGCTTCCTGATTCCTGCCCTTTGGATATTGCACTTGTCAATATTGTGATTTTATACTATTTCAATTAATTGTGCAGCCCTACTCTATTGTATTTGGAAGGAGGCAGAATTTTAACAGACATATATCTACATATATCAAAAGATACAATAAAACAGGGCCAGATAAAACCAAAGATACCTGGAGAACTGTTATGATAATTTGAGGAACTAACCTTTACGACATTGATCTACGTGTCAAATGCATCAACAGATCACACAACACTTAGTTATGAGTGCTAACGAAAGTGGCTGCATACCTCAGTGTCCCACACCTTCCTTCACCTCAACATATTGCCTTCTCTTTTGAGGAGATATCTGAATGCTGCTCGAGCGACCTCTGCTGAACAAAACCGTATCTTATCTCTCGAAAAAGAATAAAGAAACAAAGACTGTAGCAGTGATAGATTTCTGCGGTTATGTAACTAAGTCATAAGTAAATCAGTTAATCTTTACCGATAAAACCTTCATACAAACAACAATTCAACCTGTTACAGCCAGCCCTAGACTGCGTTATGCCGACTGTAAACCAGGACCTAGCAAACAAAGGCAACCATAAGAGTAGTTTCTTATAAAAGTGTAATGTGGAAAAATAATAATGCAAAAAGCCTCATAGCAGGTTCAAAAGCTGGCGCCATATGTTTACATTGGGAGGCAGCACTGCCAAGGTTCATTTGACTGCATCAATTATCATGTAGCTAACAGACTGCAAAGCATAACGGGGGATAACATTATCAGCCGACCATTTAGACATATTGTTTACAAACTACACAGAGACTACTCTCTATCGTTTAAGTAAACATGTTAAACCCAATTATCAGTTTTTGTGTGGATTTGAGAAAGTGTGCACTGTCTGCTAACTAGCACGGCGGCTAGCAGCTAGCTAAACATCAGTGTACACATTAGCATCAAGGGAGCCGGTGACAGACGATACAGCTAAAGCCGTGAATAACGCCGGCTAAATACGTTTGCATATATATTTTCAGTTTGATTTTGAACCGCTAAAACTGGACAGAAGCAGGACACTGACTTGAGGCTGGAACATGTATAAATAAACCCCGACACAAAGCTAACAACGCGCCTACTTGAAGTATTCATGTTCCCGGGTTCAGCATCTTCCTGCTCATTCAGTTGCCCTCCGGTCCAGCACAAAAGCAAGAGACTGCGGGCTGCCAGCGGCCAATTCACGACAAAACGACACCTCTACACCGACAATTCGCTCTGTTTACAAGCGGGGTTTTCGTTCCCGGGGAGCAACACATTTTCCAAAGCCATGGATACAGTGTAAAAGTAAAACAAGCTTAGAGTAAGGCTCACACACTCACCTCGGCTCCAACCGAAGCCATGGTGCCTGGACGTTAACTCCTCCCACCTCCGATTACGTCACACATATTGAATTTACAGACGGTGTTATACCACACCTGATGATACGACTGTCAGTCATATTCTTGTTTTAATAATAAGACTATATTATCCAGAATATATTCATATGTCATGATAACAACACATAGTATTGAAACATGCTGAAATCAAAAACGTAAAGGTGCCATAATCATCTTGGAAATATTGAAAGATACAATCCATTAATACAATAAATTACAAGAACAAATATGTGTTGATGTTATAATGTATAAT